CGGGAAAAAAATTGCCAAAAATCAACGCTAATTCGTAGCTACTTAGATTTTCTACTTTATTACAATAAAATTCATTGGTCTACAAATCTATATACTTAAAAAAATTCAAAAAAATCTGTCAAAAAGTTGAAAATTTGCATGGAATTTTGCTGGATTTTCGCGAGTGCTGCCCAAAGTTTAGAAATTATGTATTTATTTTTTTTGTTGTGGAATGAACCATATTTTTATAAATAATGGTCGGAAAAATATTACAATAAAAATTGTTGCATATATATATTGTAGAACAGCATATGTGCCAATACTTTTTGCCGGCCGTATATGTATTAATGTATAAAAATTTAAAAAAAAAGTAATAGTAGTAGATTAACGACTTTTAGTCGATTATAGATTATCTGTGGTATTTTCAAAGTCGTTTTGTCGTTCAATAAGTGAGTGAGAATAGTTTATAGTCGCACATCCTTCTACAAACAAACGCTTGTGCGATTAAAAACTATTCACAAACGTTTATTGAACGAGAAACCGACACTCACAATACCATGGAAAAGCGATAGTCGAATAAGAGTCGACACTAGCAATAGGTATGAAAAATAAAATCTATCAATTTTGTGCAAAACTCAGGAAAATTAAATAAACTTGCATACTTCTTTAAAACTTTCTATTCAGATTTTCTAAAAAAAATTCTAATGGTCTTATTCATAAAAAATAAAGTAGCTTTACAAAAGGTTTGTAAATTGTAAAAATGTATGAAAACGTCAATTTATAAAGCTCTTTAAACCTACTTTATTTTTTATGAATAAGGGCATAAGTATACAGTCTCATAACCAGGTGCAAGTTTGAAGTTGCTAGAAAATCGCGTTGATTTTTGGATTATTTTTTTTTTTGCGGACGGTGTCATTAGTTTCTTCTATACAAAAAACATTGCCGAGCATATTTGTGTTGGCAAAATACTTAGATTTTTTCCAGAAAATCTGAAAAGAAAGCAAATTAGTAGATATGACAATTTATTGAATTTTCCTGAGTTTTGCACAAAGTTAAGACATTTTATATTTATAATTTTTGATTTTATATACTTTTGTTCGAAAATTTGCTCTATTTCGTTGGGTTCTCTAAACCCAAAATGTGTGAATTATGACGATTAACAAAGCCATCAAGGTGAAAATGAACTTCTCCATGTAGGATGATGTTACTCGAGACATGCGCATTCACTTGTTGTACCGTGACAACCATTTGCCCGATGTGCTATTCCAAACACAACCATGTACTATGTGCCTTATGTTTAAATAAAACAAAAAATTTAATTGTGAAAAAACTGTGTCTATTTAAATCATGCGTGAATTATGTGACACTCCATAAATAAATAGATAATCGATACTTATGTATGTACTCTCAATTTTAAAAGTAAAATATTCTAAGGATTTTAATCAAGCTAAATACTACGCTTTTATCTTTTATGAATTAAGCTTTTATAAATTAAGTAAATTAATAAAAAATAATGACGCCTAATTCAAGGTAAGCTGATTAATAAATAATAATGACGCCTAATTCAAGTGTATGCTGATTATATATAATATGTAAAATAAATTTTTTCTTAATTGATATTTGTTAACTTATTTAATGCAGCACTTTTTTCATCTTCTCTACAGTACGATTGGTTCCTCTTCAATCGATTTTTTGTTTTTGCGTCGGCGACTTGATTTAATTTTGCTTAGCACATTGTAGGCCTGTTGAATTTCAATAAACCGTTGATTTGCAGCTTCTTTGAATTTCTCATCTTTAACTTTATCCGGGTGGAACTCTTTGGAAAGTCGTCTATATGCTGATGTAATTTCAGCTTGCGATGCGGTCGCACTAACACCCAACACCTTGTAGGAATTTCGTTCTCCATCCACATCCATACTTTCGAAAATTTCTTTCCAAGTTTCATACCATCCATGATGTTGCGCATATTGATAAGTATCTTTAAGAGCTTTAGTAAAATCTGTCCACCAATCGGATGTAAGGAAATTTCGCAGAGCTTCGTGTATAGGCACTTCCCCTCCATCGTCATCGGAAATAGTGCCGTTGAAGTAAAGGAAACAACCCCAAAATGAGAAGTACACCAGCAGAGCAGCAGTCAATTTTAGCGAGCGCACTGCAATGCCATGACGTTTTGGTGGTGTGCGCAACCATTGTTTTGAATATGTGTCAAAAACTAAGGCAGAAATCAGCGCAGTTAGTAATAAAGAATACGTCTCGTCGTAGATGAAATAGCGAGCAGGATATATAACAACGGCACCAATTAAGCAATGCCACCATACGCCACGTTCACGCCCAATATTTCCCACAGTCCAAACGCCCAGCGACACAAACACTGGTATAAGCCAATGGAGGAAACTCCAATCTATGCCACCAAAGATGGTTTCCGGTATTGCCATAAGCAGCAACTGCCCGAAGAGGTAACCGATCATGACCTCGCCGACAAAACGCTTTGCGGAGTACGGTGGCCGACGATTTGTTTGCAAACGTGCTATAAATGATTTAATAAAGGTGGGATCTTCATTGGCATCCCGTACATATTCGGGTATCAGAAATATTTCGGCCAACCAGCCGACACCAAAATAACCGCCCAATGTACACCACCAAATGAAGGCGTGTCGATCGCGGTGCAAATAAAGGTGATGTAGTCCAAATATACCACCAAATAACCATAAAAAATACGCAGTTATAATAGATTTTTGCGGTGGCAGGGAATTGGCTTCGGTATGTAAAACTTTACCATTAGCAGCAGGTTTACTGTTGGCCAATGGTTTTCCATTGGATATTACATTATCGGAGTGGGACTGCTTTACGTTCTCTTTTATCATGGTGTCTTTAAAATTCAAACAAAGAAAAGTCGCATAACAAATGCATCATGATTAAATAAGCAAAAGGAGATTGAAAATTAAATTTAATACTGTGTATATCTATTTTAAAAAATACTTACAGTGTTATAAGTAAATCAGCTTGAATTACGTGTACTTTCTTATTGAATCGGCGTAAAAGTAATTTATCTTTGCCTACTTTCTCTTTTCACAAATTCAATGCACGCTTCACTTCAGTTCTATGAGAGCTCCTCTATTGTGGCTCAGGCTCTTTTGTTGCCAGATAATAAATAGACTATATTTATTATCTGTATTGATATAAAAGATATTTTGATTAAGTTAATTATATTTCACTGCAATATTTATTTTGAAAAGCATACAATGTTTTTATATTTTAAGCGTCTATCTTCGTTGGTTGTGATTAGCCTTCCTCACTGCTGCTTAATAAAATTTGTGACGTTTGACAGCATTTCTTTCGAGTCATGAGTGCGGCTTAAATGGGTCAAGTATGGTTTGCAAGTTTTTGATAATTGCTAGTCAATTGTTTATGTGGGCACTCACTTTAGCACAAATCTACATTTATAAACTTTTTTGCACTCAACACAAATATCTGCTTATTGGAATATTTTACAAGTTTCAAATAAGAATTTTACACCTGAAAGCGCCGCAATTCCATTCAAACGTTCTGATCAGTGTTGCCACAAGATTTTTTCCCAAAATCACAGAAAAGGTTACCAGATTAAACAAAAAATTACCAAACTTATTTTATGTTCAGAACTTTACATTATAAACATTTTTTTAATTATTAGAAAATTGAAGGAGTGCATAAAGAGACATATGTACATTTGTATAAGTCTGTACAATAAATTAAATTTTTATACGAAATTAATTTGTTTCTATTGTTCTAGCTCTCTTTTAGATTTACTAAATGTTATTTTATCTAAATTTTTAATGAACTTGACATTGAAAAAAAAATCTCAAAAAAAAAAAGTAGGTTTTGGTTGGTTTGTGTAGGAAAAAAATTTGTCCGTGGCAGCCCTTATTCTGATTTAAGTTACTATTTTGTGCTCTCTTTGCTTATCGGCTCCCTCTAACAAACCATGGCCTCTTTTGAAGGTAGTAAAGCCACGAGGTCTTATTTGTTAGTAACTATGTCTTTGCAAGAAAATAAATTTTGTTTTCACTTATTATTTATAAGGCATATATAGTCATAGTCAAAATAAAAACGACTCCAAAGTTAGTAGCAGCTGTTTGACATTCTTTTCAATGGAACATCTGTCAAAAAAGCTGCAGTTAACTTAGGTGTTGACTATATTTTTATTTACAACGCACGCAATGCAACCATGGGATTCTCTTTGACTGAACATGCCTGATAATTATTAAAGATGCCAGATCGAAATAAAAAACATCTATTTTTGAATCGGTTAAAATCGAAATAAAAATAATCGATGCAGGAAGGATCGTCAAGAAATAAATCGATCTCTCAGGGTCGATTCATATATTTTGTGAAATAACGAATTTTGCATTAATTGTTATAAAGAAACAAAACATAGCAATCTGACCAAATTTTTATTGTACAAAAGGAATGTTTAAAACATACATACATACGTTGTTCATAACGGTTTCAATATCTGGAGTTATTTGGAAAAAAAAGTATGAGATAAAGCTTTTCTTTACTAAGGCAATGATATGATGATTCATTCCGCCAGGAAACGAAATAAAAAATGTATGCCATTTAAAAAATGTCATATGGAAACCAACACTATGACACGGGTAATGTTTAATGCCCAAGAGACAAAAATTTTGTATGAAAATTTGCATAAAGTTTGGAATTACAATTTTTGGAGTTTTTGTTGTAGTATTAGCCATAATTTTATTTATTTTTATATTTAATAGACTTCCCTGAGGAGCCCTATAGTCGGAGGAGAAAGGTCATTGAATTCGTTGGTCTTTGCTCTCTCGTTTTTTTTTTTGTTCTAGCCCTAAGTTCTACTTTAATTATATTTTTATAGATTTTCTGGTGCAAACTGTATTTCATATGCATCGACTGAGCAAAAATCTAATGTCGATTCTCGATTTTTTTATCGATTCACGGATCGAATCAGAATAATCGATGCTCGATTTAATCGATTTAAAAACGGCAGCTCTAGTAAGTAATAAGCTGCAGGCTCTGACAATTTATTTGGTGAATTTTTTTATTTTCTTTTATTAACAATAAATAATCTGTGCACATGAAATGGTAATTCAATGTCGCGCATGCCTCAATACTAAAGACGCAGAATTTATACGCATGGAGTCCGATATATCAGATGGCTTCGATTTCTTTTCTTGCTTCAGTTTATGTACTCAGCTTGATGCCGGACTCTATGACGGATTGCCTGGTGTGCTTTGCACTAACTGCTCGCAAGATCTTCAAGTAGCTTTCAACTTTGTGCAAAATGCACGACAGGCTGACAGAATGCTGCGAGAAAGTTTGTCACAGAAATTAATGGCTGATGAATTGATTGAAACATTAGAGTCCGAATCTGGTGATGTATCAATGGAACCTTTGGAGGTAGTTGGAGACAGTGAAAGTGAGGATTGTGTGGTCGAGGAACTCTTGGATGAAGAACCTACATTAGATGAAGTTAACGAAGGGGGTGAAGAAGAAAATACCGCTGTAGAAATTATGGAGGTAAATTGAGCTTGCAAAAATCATGCACTCAATATATTTATGTATAATGTTAAAATTTCACAGATCGAAAAGGCAGAAGTAGAGATTTATGAAAACTCTTTAGAGGAAATAGAGCTCATTGAGAGTAAATACGAAGATGCTTCAGCAGTAGAAGATGTGCAAGAAAGGCTTGAACCACAAACAGACCCAGGGGAATGTTATCCTGAAGACGAAAATGATGATCAGTACCTAAGAGAATATCAAGAAAATGAACAGGAACAGATAAATATGGATTCGGTTACCAACGGTGCGAAATGGAAATGTATAGAATGTAAGCGAGTTTTATGCGGGGATGTGTCTTATGAAGGACACATGAATATGCATCGCTCATTACGTCCCTACAAATGTGCAATATGTCTTTGTGCGTTTCGTTGTAAAAATGCGTTAGAAAAACATGTGGAACTGCGCCACCGTACAGAAACGCCCATAGAAGAAATAGTGGAAGAATCGCCACGTAAGTTTGGTTAATTATTACAACGTTATCCCCATTTACATTGGCATAATTGTTTGAAAGCCATACATATTTACCTTACGTCCCAGCAAACAGCAATTGTGATAAATGTTCAAAAACATTTACAACGCCTGAGGAACTACAAGATCACCACGAATTAGTACATCCTGAAAGTTACCCTGTTCAGTGTCGACACTGCCCACTTATAGCTCCATTAACACGCTCTAAGTTGGTTGAGCATTATCGTATTGAACACCCAGCGGAATATCACATACATTTTCCTACGGTAGGAAGACCGCTGAATGATCCGATGAAGACGACTCCATGGCAATGTGAAGTGTGCAAGCGTTATATGCGATCAGAAGCAGCTTTGTGTGACCATCGACACAGTCATCAAAATGAGCGACCGCATGAATGTCAGTTTTGTTCGAAGCGTTTTGCTTCAACCAGTAATTTACGACAACATATGCGCGGTGTGCATGTTGAAGAATATGAGAAGCTTATAAATGAAACCGGTGATACCTGTATGCAATGTGAAATATGTAAGAAGCAGTTACTTCGGCGAAATTTCGAAAAGCATATGGCACTACATATTAGAAAAGAACGTGAGGCAAATGAGGCGCAAACTAAATTCCTTTGCGCGTACTGCTGTAAGTAAAAAAACCTAATATGTATGCATATGAAATTTTCTATGGCTACATACAGTGAACCAAATATTAACTGGGACGCGATATTTTAGCAAGTTTTTGGTGAATTTCTTTAGCTTATTTTAAGTTTATTATTTTTTTTTATGAAATTATAGCTGATTACTTGACAAACACGATATAAATCCATATTTATACAAAAATTATAAAAATTCTGCTAAATTTCTCACTTTCTAATGAGCATCTTTATAAAAAAATTTGGTATCAATGCAGTTTTCAGCCCATTCAATTTTACCGCTGTTTTTTTTTTTGCGGTGTTCCGAATTTTTTCCATATAAACAAATTGTCCAATATACTTTGTATGGACAAAATGCGTAACACCGCCAACAAACAAATTTCCAAAAATCAACGGTACTGCACTTTATCATATTAAAAATTAATGGGCTAGAAAACTGCATACCAAAATTTTTTCTAAAGATGCTCATTAAAAAGTCAGAAATTTGCAGAATTTTCATAATTCTTGCACAAAATCTGAAATTTGGATTTATATGGTGTTTGTCAGCGATATTTTCATAAAGAAAAAAATCCAAAACTTGCTAAAATGAAAATATGAGCGTTGTCTCCCAGTTTTTATTTGGTTCACTGTATATGTACAAAGGTAAATTATGTGTAAATTAATACGGTGTTCGCATGAAGCGATTTTTCAGGCAATTTTAGAGGCGATTTGTTGAATCAAAAGTTGGCTGCAACCCAACTTCATTGGAAGCGATTAGTTGAAAGGACGTTCACACCGGGCGATTTTTGCTTTCAACTAAAAGTTGCCTGTAAAATCGCCTCATGCGAACACCGTATTCGACGTATGTACATACATCTGTATTCCCTAATTCAATATGATCCAAGCCGTATATTAAGAAATACTTAATAGGCTACCTTTTTTAGAGTAACTTAGAAATATTCGCTTTGTTAATTGATAAGGTTTGTATTTCTAAAACGCATTGTCTTTTTACCCGACTTAAAAAAATGGAGAAGGTTATCAACTCGTCGGAAGATATTCGTTTTTTTATGTATGTGATCGCATAACTTTGGACCAAGAACGTTAACCGATTTGTACAATTCTTTTTTTCAAAGGAAAGGTGTTACCTCACAGATGGTCACATACAAATTTGATTTAGATCCCATCATGCGATCATGAAGAAATCAACGATAATCTTAAAATTTTATATCAGAATGGAAGTCGGTTTGTTTTGTATTACTTGTTCTATTTACATATCGTCCCTAGACACGAGTGAAGGCACGAGCTCAAAAATTTACCGCGAAAAAAAAAGACTCATAAAACAAAACTTCGGCGAAGAAGGACCTACATATTTGACGGCGAAGAAAGACGCGGAAACTTATTTTCGCGGTCAACTATGTTTGCGGGTGTAACAGTATATAAATTCTCCAAAGAGTTTTGGGGGAATGATGCTGAAGTAACAGTCCTTGGCAAGGTATAAATCTATGTATACGCGTTTTTCTTCGCCGTCAATTAGTATTAGGAGTCTTTCTTCGCCGAAGTTTTTACTACGCGTATTTTTTCGTACATTTTCCTAGGTCCTTTTTCGCCGTCAAAACACTTCCGCGTCTTTATTCATGTCTCGAGACGATATGTTCAATCTGAATGCAAAATGGCTTATAATGCTATGAAAATTAAAATAGCACTACCTCTACTACATATTTTTTAAACCCGAATACAGTTTTCCAAAGTTCAAATTATGGGTGCTTTTCAAACGTCAAAATACAAAGCATCAGTCCCTTATTTCCAAACCAAAACTAGAAGAAAAAATCTAACTTCCGCAACATATGTGAAAACTAGCATCTAACCGTGATTGCGCACATTTGGCATTACAATCTGCTAAGGTTTAGAAACAAAAGAGACTGATTACTCGGATTGAGAGCTGTATTTTGTTACATTTCCTCGCCTTTTATCTGGCACTAACTATAAGCTATAGTACAAAAACAAAATTTAAAAGTAAGGAGAAAAAGTAGCCCTGTTATTTTGTTGTTCGCACATGTAAAATGTCTTTTTGGTTGGAGGTATAATAACAGGGCCACTAAAATTTTACTTCACTTAAAACTTAACTAAAAAGTGTTCAAAATTTGTTTACCTGAAAAAATATTTGCGAAGGTGAATGATCATTTGTAAATTTAGTTAAAATACTGTTTTGAAAAATCGTTCGTAAATACATATTGACCAAAATTCGTTACTAAATACATCAAATATAGAAACCTTTATTAAGAAGGAAATTTTCTATGAAAGAATATGTATATATAAATATTCAATATTTTTCCCAGCGCGCGAGTGTAAAAACCAAAAATCTCTCACCCAACACGAGAAAATGCACCAAGGTGCATCGTCGGATGTCATTTATATTTGCGCCGATTGCGATCGCTCCTATGCCACACAACATTTGTTGCAGCAACATCGCAAGCAGGCTCACAAGGAGCGAGATAATTTCTGCCCCATCTGTGGTAATGGCTTCAAGCTTAAAAACCAATTGGTCAATCATATGAAATTGCACTTGGAAAAGAATATAAAATGCCCGCATTGTGAGAAATGTTATGCGCGTAAGTTCGATCTAGATGTACACATGCGCACTCATACTGGAGAGCTACCATTTGCCTGCCATCTTTGCGAAAAGCGTTTTGCCATTAAGGTACGACTCACCTACCATTTACAGAAGCACTATGGCATCAAGCATCGCTGCAAAGATTGTGATGCGGAATTCAATTCAAAACAAAAACTAAAAGCACACACCTATAAACACACCGGAATGCCATATCGCTGCGAGAGATGCAATGGCCATGGCTTTGCGAATCGGGATGTGTAAGTAGTGGTGAAAAAAAACGATCCTAGCAATGTTTTCTTGATTTCATTTTATTTTACTTTTATTCCAGTTTTAAGAGGCATTTACAGCGTGTGCACTGCACCAGTATGAGCGATGAGGAGCTTGTTGCAATGTTTCAGCAAAATACTGGCAAATCGACACGTATACGACGCGTTGACCTTTACGAAGAGCATGTGGACAGAGAACCTATGAAGGAGGCTACTGAGGAAGACGGGACTTTAATCAATGCAGATGATATTGCACTAGAATCCGAAGTGATTCACAGCTGAAAATATTGTCGGATAGTTACATGATGTTGAATATGCATATATGTATATGTAAAAAAAAAACTACGAAATTATCAAAAATAAAACTCTGTAGAGCCGTGAGAATGATGAATCGGAATTGTTTTATGTTACAGATATTACTTTCTAACTTAAGATTAATTTGAATAGTTTTAGACAAGCGATACATTTAAATCAGTTCGCCTGCTAAAATTTATCAAGTTTGCATACTATAAAATCGCAACAATTATGAAAATTCCCGATTAAAAATTGCAGCTCGTGAGTTTTCGAATACAAAATCACTCAGTGTGCATGAGCACAACGTTCATCTAGTCAAATTGGAAGAACCGAAATACGAATGCGGCATATGTAAGCGCAAATGCTATCAGCAAAAAGATCTTAGTTCTCATATGCAGCGAGTGCACCTGGCGGAACGCAAGCACGTTTGCAACATATGCGGTAATGCATTTAAGAGCGGCTGGCAATTGACCGCACACAAGATGTTGCATGACGAAGACAAGTCTTTTGAGTGTTTTCACTGTCAACGTAAATATACTCGACAAGCTGATTTAAATGTGCATATACGCACGCACACCGGAGAACTGCCGTACGCTTGTCACTTATGTGATAAACGTTTTGCAATTAAAGTGCGGCTAACATACCACCTGCAACGGCATGAGGGCGTCAAGCATCCGTGCACCTATTGTGGTATTCTGTACGATAATCGCAATCAACTGAAGGAACATCTTTTCAAACACACCGGCATGCCCTATCGCTGCGAATTGTGTCCCGATGTTGGATTCACCCGCCGCTTACGGTAAAAGACCTATAATTAAATTTATTTATTCGTGCAATATTTTTATATTTTTTTTTGCACTTTTAGATTTGCAAACCATATGCAGCGCGCACATAATCTGAATTTGAGTGCAGATGAATTGGCCGCCGTTTTTGCCAAGTATACGGGGAAGGCGATACATTTCAACTCCACCTTCAAGGCGCAGGACAACGAAGACTCGCAGACATTAGCCGACTTCATTGTAGATGAAACTAAAGATTCATGAAGAAATTAAGTATAAATGTAACATGCTAAAACAATTTTAAGATTAGTACATATGTACATACATATAGTGTGTGATTTTTCAGCACCAGCATTTGTGCTTGGGTGTAGAAATGATGTTCCTAAGAAATGAGGTGGACCTTAGGTAGAGCTGCGTACTGCAAAGTTGGTAAATGTCTCCACCGTGTGATATACTGGTTTTGCTGGCATCAGCTGATCGCTATCGACTACAATGTGCAGGTGTGCACTGTATGCGCAGACCTTTGCTGGCTATTGTGATGTGAATAGGGTAGGGGACAAGCCCCGGGCGAACCCTTCCTTACAACTTTAAGAAAATGTATTTTTTGTTGCAGAAAACAAGCTCATTTTTCCAAAATATCAGCCAAATTGCGTAGAGCAAAAACATATTGGCTCTTTGCAACCGACTTCAAAAAAGCAGGACATATTGACCGGATAACCTCGGACCACGTAAACCGTTTTCTTTTTTATCGGAAAGGTTGTACCTCAAGGGTGGTCCCATACTAACTTGGTTTAGTTTCGATTCACCTTTATTTTGATTGTCTCTTCGACAGTCGTCCGTTAAGTTAAGTCGTGAATACAAACATTAACGACAAACTTCAACGCGTTGTCAATACTTTTTAATTTCGAAAGGATAATAGGATTATGTCATTGGTTGCCTCATAACACCAATGAAAATCCCAATTTTCGTCTTACAGGATCAGAATGATTAACGGTACTCCAAAATTTTTATTTGAGCATTGAAGTCGGTTGTATTTTTTGTTTTGAAATTACCCGTTTTAACCACTACAATAGTCAAATTTGTTTAATATACAAATTTAAACAGCATTAATACTCATTTAAAGCAACATTTTCTTCGTTGATGTTGTCTTCCTCCATAAGCAAACCTGCAGAATTCTTAACACGAGGGTATCGACCTGTATGCTCTTTGAACATATCGCTCAATTCGTCCTCTGACATAGTCATACCATGCACGCTCAGCAAGTGTTTTGTAAAACTGCAATATGTAACATTTAGATGTATAATTGTCATCGGTTTTTTTTTTTTTTAAATGCTTACTAAATTCGTCTCGGTGTGGCATAATCGCAAACAGGGCATCTATATGGCATGCCTTTATGCTTATACATATGCACTTTCAATTGTCCAATGTGATTGAACTCCTCACCACATTCCTCGCACTTCCTTTTGAAGCCAGCGTGTTGCTGTAGATGATATTTAAGGTATATTTTAATTTTAAAACGACGATCACACAGATGACAAGCGTATGGCGTCTCCCCCGTATGACTGCGCATATGTATATTCAGTACACTATTGGACGTAAAAGCCTTTTCACATACAGTACATGGGAAGTTGCGCTTCTTGTGTAGAAGCTTGTGCACGCAAAGTTGGGCATTATTTTTGAAGGAATCACCACAAATATCACAAACGCTTTTGCGCTCTGTCACATGAACTGTTCTCATATGATTTTTTATATAAGCTCGATAAAACTTCTTATGACAAATCGGGCATTCTTCCTTATTTTTCGATGCTTCACTCGAGTGGACTGTCATTTCATGTGTTTGTACAGCACGCGGCGATGATAGTTGTCTGGCTGAAATATAAATTATTCAAAATAGAGTTGGACGGATTACTTCTTTTGGGTGAACCGTTCAGTTGTAGTTTGTTCACCTTAGTGAACTAGTTCTTCAGTTCATATAGTTCAATTGACGACTACATTTACATATCGACACCTCAGTGGAAGATCGACCTATGTCGGCAGCCAGTTCGAAAACGGCCTATCTCAACATATTTTTAGTTGAGATAGGGGGTTTTTAAACCAAATTCTGAAATAGGGCGTTCTTGAAACGTTTTCTGAGATAAGGCGTTTTCGAACAGGCAGCTGAGATAGGTCGATATCTTCCACTCTTTTTACTATCATACATATTACATTCAAAAGGAAAGCTTTGGTAATTTGAATTTACATACATAAAAAACGTATGTACCTTCATAAATATGTTTTCGTACAAATAAAATACAAATAAACGAGTTCCTACATACAACAAAAGCTTAAGCAAATTCATGGAATGTTTATAGGCTAAAAGTATTAGGCATGATAAAAATATAGTAAGGTAGAACCGCTGAGAGGCACTTTTAAAATTCTTGACGTTTCCAAACAATTTAATTTTTAAACTTACTCACACACACAATTTCATTTTCAATCTCAAGCAACAACAATTTCGAACAATTTAAATTTTTTATTTTCACTTTTATATGATTTTAAAATGTTGGCAAACTTCAAAAAAAAATCATGGCCGACAAATTGAGAGAACGGTTATACCTTGCTGTGTTTTTATCATGGTATTAGGCACCAATATATGATGATTTAAAATTGTTTTTGTTTATTTTATGTTTAATATTTTTTTATAAAAGCCTAGCTCACTGTCTAATAAAGAACATATTAATCCAAATTCCAAACTTTGTGTGGAAAATATGCGAACTTTCACCTAACTCCAAACTTTTTAATCAGAATCTTTTGAAAAAGAAATTGGTATGCAGTTTTGTAGCTCATTAAGTTTTAGTATAATAATTACAAGTTTCGAGGTTGCTAAAAAATCCCGTTAACTTTTTATGATTTTTTTCGCTGACGCTGTCACGCATTTTCTTTCATAAAAAGTATGTTCGAATTTCTTTTATGGAGGAATATGCACAACACGTCTGCGAAAAAAAATTATTAAAAACCAAAGGAAGTAACTTGAAACTTGCACTTTATTATACTAAAATTTAATGGGCTACAAAACTGCATATAAATTTTTTTCTAAAGATCCTGAATAAAGAGTTTGAAATTTTGGTGAAGATTCTCAGAATTTTTATATTTTCTGCACAAAGTTTGGAATTTGGATTTATATGTTCTTTGTTAGACAGTGAGCTAGGCTTTTATAGAAAACATTAAACATTGAATAAACAAACAAAAAATTGTAAATCATTGGTGTGCCTAATACTTTTGGCCAAGGCTGTAGGCATGTACGATATGTAAACACTTACAAATGTATTGCTGTCCAAAAACATTAAATTAGAGAGCTTGCTCTACGCCAGTTTAATATTTTCCCTGCACCAGAAAAAAATCGTTCAGAAAGAACTGTAGCAGCAACAAAGCAAAGGCGTTTTAAACTGTATTTATAAAGATGGGTTTTTACGTCATACGTTCGTGCCAAAAATATTTGGAGATAAGAGAATTTTAAAGTACCAGTAACCAAGATTTGAGTGTAATTAAACTGCAGAAACAGTTGAAAAAAATAAATAAATCAAGACCTCCGCGGCAACCACCAAATTTCAGTTGCCAATATAACTCAGTTGCCATTGGCCACGCAACTGAAGCTCAGTTGCTATCCATAATCGACCTATAAATATTAAGAGCACTTGAAAAAAATCACCGTTTCGGTAAAATATAAAAAAAAAAAAATAATGTCCTAAACGCTAATCATGGCATTGAAGCTAAATTTGTTTACGAATTAATATACCCATGGAGAAAATGAACAAATTTGTAGGTTTCAACTTACGGCAATAAGAACAAAGGTATGTTCTTTTATTTTTGGTTATTGCATCCTGTTCGCTGCAGTCACTATCACTTTCTGAATCCTTCGCAGAACTACCACAATTTGAAGATGTAGTAGTAATATTCACTCGGTTTTCATATTTTCCCCTTTTATCAGTCGTTTCTTTGGTGGCTCCTCTTTTAAAGCGCATGCTACTTATTTTTAAATCAGAAGGGGATTCTCCTTCATTTTCCGATTCTTTGTTTTGGTCATGATGCTCGTTCTTAAGATGCGCATGAAAATTTCTTTCGAAACTGAATTGTGCTGAACAATTTGTGCATTTATATGGCTTCTCCATTTCGACAGTTCCACCCAAACTTGGTTTCAAAATATCAGCCGTGTATTTGTGAATCCTTCTAATGTGGGCCATACAGGTTGTCTTTTTTGAGAAACGTACTGAACATACAGGGCAGTCAAATGTATGATTTTTTATATGTTCAACCAATTCAGGCATGGAAGCGAAGTCTTGATAGCAATAATTACATTCGTATAATTGGAGCGAGCGCATCACTCGCTTACGGGGAAAATATTTGAGGTATGGATTGTTGTGCTTCAGTTTGAAATGCTGGACTATTTGGCATCTTAATAAATGTTTGGGTTTCTTGCACCAAGGACACTGTATCGACGGTTCAGTGCCATGAACCAGCTTTTTGTGCCTCTGCAAATCTCTTGGCAGATCGTATACTTTTTGGCATTCCATGCATATTACTTCACCTATAAAAGAATAAATAATTAGTATGTTTTAAAAGAAGGTAAGTATTGTTAAACATAGCATAATTACTCTTATGAGCTTCAAAAATATGATTTTTCCACTCCTTTCTTGTTTTAAGAGAACATTCGCAAAATTCACATTGATATGGCCCCTTGTATCTCCTTCGAGCCTTTGCTTTTGTTTCTTTGATAAGCTGAGATCTATTGGCAATGTCGCTTACAATCTGGATATTGTTTGATTCTTCACTCGACGAAACAGCCAAGTTTTCGAATTTGATATCATCCATTGGTAAATCCAATTCAGGCTCAAATATAAATGTAGGTTTTAATTCGGTTACATTCTCTTGTATATCTTGGAATTCCACCACAGCTAAGGGATCCGCCGAACCCTCCACAGCAATCTGAATGAAATAGACAGAGAAGTCACATATATGATTATACGTAGATACATTAGGGTGGTCCAAAAATTCATATGAAGGGGAAAGTAATTTTAGTGCTCTCATCCCCTAGGATTGTTCTATACCGAAAAAAATTACACCCGTTTTTTTTTTATATTGCAATCAAAAAATATTTTGTTGTGGCTCAAAGTGCCCAAAGTTTTTTATGTACATATTTTATATGGAACTCCCCATTGCTCCCTATGCTCATGTGTGTAAGTATGTAATTTTGTGTACTCCCTTTGCCATTGTATGTCCTAGGAGGGGGGAGTAATCCCTTTTACCTCCTAAACAAGCATTTTGGGATACACTCAGAAATATGATCCCACAAACCTCATAAGGGAGCAAGACGGGAGTACTCCCATAAAAACCTCCCCTATATCTCCCAAAACGACAACAAGGGAGTGCACATAGAAAAACATCCCATATTCCTCCCGAACGAGCAATAAGGGAGTGCTCCCATAAGAGGCATCCCGAAAGCCTCCTGTACGAGCAATAAAAGAGCTTTTCCTTAACGAAAAGATATTGCTATTTATACATGTATTTAAGTTTTTAATCACATGTATGCATACAATATTATTTAAAAGATGTTAACAGATGCCAATAGGTACGGCAAATGCAGTAAAAGTCAATCAGAATAATAATAAAACGTTAAGATAACTACATGATTTCCTATGTGTCAGGTATGCTTGGGTGTTCTGGAGCTCACGCAAATAGGGAGAGTGTATAAACCTTTATTGTTTTAACCACGATAATGTGAAGGTTACTTTGCCCATCTGAAATCTATCTATGTCACTCAGTAAAAGCTCTGGACCAGCAGTATATGAACGTTAAAACCAGGGGGTCATACATAAGTGCTGATACTAATTTGCCAATCTGAAAAGTATTTAGCGGTATATAATACAATATTTAAGAAATTTAAAAAAAAGTTGCAATACATACCGACAGAACTTCAGTTAATGTGTGCTATCGACATTAAATTATTGCATCCTCTTTATATTGTTTCTATGTATGTATGTATGTATATGAAATATTTTCTATATTTTTCCTCATGATAAATTTTTCCAACACAATTTCTTTTGAACTAGGTGCCTATAGCTTCCCTATCAATCAAAATGAATACTCCTGGATAACTCTTTTAGGAGACATCGCTTTTTGCGCCTAAGCGAGTAATAACGGAGTACAAAACCGAAAAATCTCAGTTATTGCTCCGAAATCATTTCTCAGGGAGTATTCTTTTATTACTCACTTGGCATATCTCCCGTTTGGCTCCTAAACGAGTAATAAAGGAGTACAAAATCGACAAATCAAAATCATGCCTCTGGGACTATTCTTTTGTTGCTCACTTAGAAGATCTCGGATTTGACTCCTAAGCGAGTTATAAAGGTCAAAACCGAAAAATCTCCTATTGCTCCGAAATCAGGCCAAAGGGAGTACTCTTCTATTCCTCACATTGGGAGATCTCCCTTCAAGTTCTAGTGGGATTTTTCGCGGAAATATTTTAGAATTTTTGAAAATCAATAGTGTTTAATATTAGCGATTTTTATGGGTCCCTTATTACATTTTATAGTTCCAATAAAAAAAAACAGGTATACTTTTTTCGATATAGAATAATCTAAGGGGGTGAGAGCGTTAAAATTCCAATATTACCTTTTTAGAAAGGTCGTATCTCACATCGTCGGTGAAATGCAGAAAACACTTTGGTGGACTGAAATGATGAAATGCATCATAATCAATCAAAAAATGAATTTTGAATTTTTAGTTAGTTACAGCTTTTTGTATTACAGCGACGATGTGAGATACATACATACATATGTACATACATATATCAACGTAATAAAATGTAGTTATCTAAATACGTACATACCTCTAGCTGTTCATTATAAATTTGTTCTAATTTTAGTTCATGTACAGTGCATAGTCTTTTTAGTTCATCATTTGATTTGTGAGCTTTTTGCCTAAAGTTAAAGAATATTTGGACATCTTGGACACACCGTGAGCACAGAGATCTTGGCAGATTGTCGCCGTCTGTGGCGTGAAGCTGGGTGCATGCGTTAAAGTAGTCGTAAAGCGTCTTACCATCCCCCTGCGTAGATAGGCTCATTTCCGTGAATTCACCATCGGTGTCCATGCACGCACGGCATTGCATTTTGTCAAGTTTTTCTCACTTATTTATAACCTATTTTTAATCTTATTGCCCCAAAAATGGCAAGGATAGGGATGCAATAAATACACCTTGGATGAAACGATACGAGTTCGATAGCAAGTAATTTTGGTATCGATACTTTTGAACCAAGTACTGAGTAGGTATCGACATGGCGCACTTAAAAGCTAATAAAACATCTTTCTCGCTTTATTTTCTGACATTCGGCTGCCTTATATTTAGTAAAATTTTTTAGGCAAATGTTCAAATGAGGCAGTGTCAAAATCTTTCTTCTTACTCTAATATTTCACCTGGTATAATTCCAGCATCGGTATCGGAAAAAATACTCGCAACCCTGCAAGAAATGGCAGACCATATCGAAAAAATACTATCGATTGTACACTCCCATACATAAGGTGCATTCTTTTGCAACCAAGCTACAAAAGAACACTGTTGTTGTTTAGGGCACTGTTAATTGCGTATACAATATTATTAAAATTATAAAGTTTTGCACGATATGTACATCTGCAATTTACATTTCGTGTTGGCTATAACTACAGAAACCACAACCTATGTGCAACCTTGTGCCAAACTCGACATAACCACCTCAGAGCAAACTAAGCAGCCGCCATTTAGTTTGCCAAACAAAAGTTTGTCAGCATAACACCGACCTTAAATGACGAAACACATGCAAAGCAACAACACAGGCTCGGCTACCGCTGACCGCTCGTTTTCGTCAGTCAACCAGTGTTGCCATGCAAATTCCCCATAATTCCCAATAATTGCGTGCATTTGATCAGCTGCTTATGCGTATTTTAAAGAGGAAAAAGGATGAGTCAAAGCAAATAAAGGCTGTTTATGCAAATAATCGAGCCCGTTTGTCAACTGTATTTAGGGAGTGCTTTTCAGTGCCAGTTTAAAATTAGATTACGTAAATTGCGTCTATATTGAATAGCTGGGCAGACATTCGATTGGCTAATCTTAGTTTAAACCAATCAGCTCGCGCATTTACACTTAAGCCATGCACTGGAAAACGCTCTAAATGTATATCAAATTAAAGCTAAGAACTTGCACTTTCTAAATAATATAAATGTTTTTCTCCTTGATTATGCACTTTTTCCAAAAAAGGTTATTTTCTGAGAAAATTATAAATATATAAAAATTTTGATTTTTAATATTTTTGGCTTAAATATATAAACAAGAATACATGTTTTATATATCGACTTCAAGATAAATTAATTGTCTTTATTTAGACATCATTACCTTTATAATCGGCTACGTAGTTTATTAATATTCTAAAATATCACAAAATTTTTTTAACCTCATATCTTTAATATTCAACTGCGCCAAATAATCTTTATATAGTTGAAATCAGCGTAGAGAACTATCGATCTGCATTTTGTACTTTTTCCATAGCTGAATGGTTGGTTATCTTGATGTATGCCCAAATAATCGAGTCTTGTTTGTCAACCGTATTTGTGGCTAGGGATGTAACCATGAAAACAACCCATTATTGACAAAACCAAGTTAAGTTTATTAAAATAAATAATCTTCCGTTATTCTACTTAGGTCATAACTTTTAATATTAGTTTAATAATTCCTCTTGCTCCATATTCTGCGCCCCGGATTGCAATTCCTCCAGAGTTTTAACGTGGGGATTCCGACCAGTATTTGCCTTGAACATCGCACAATATTCATCCGGAGTCATTGTCATATCGTGCATTCGCAATAAATGATTCCTAAATCTGAAATATTTCAGTTACAATAAATTAAATAATATTACGAAACAGGAATTTTCAACTTCTTACACATCACGTTGTGCGCAAGCATAACTACACACTGAACACCTATAGGGCATGCCGGTGTGTTTATAAGAATGTATTTTCAATTGCTTGACGTGATTAAACTCTTTTCCGCACTCTTTGCATTTTCGTTTAATTCCAGCGTGCCGCTGCAAGTGATAGTTGAGTCGAACTTTGATTTTAAAACGTCGATCACATATATGACATGCGTACGGTTCTTCTCCAGTGTGACTACGCATGTGTACTTTAAGTTCATTTGAGCGTATGAACTTTTTTGTACATATAGTGCATGGAAATTTGCGCTCTAAATGCAATCGTTTATGGTAGTGAAGCAACACGTTACTTCTAAACGAATCGCCACAAAAATCACAGATAAACTTTCGCTCTGAAGCATGAACATTGTCAATATGATGTTTAAGATAATTTGGATCGACTTCTTTCTGACATATTGGACACTCCTTTGGTTCGGGCTTTTCTCGCAGATGAATCTTCTTTTCATGCAACTTAACCGAAGTTCCAGAATTAAATTCTCGGGCTGTAAACGTCAAACAAATCAAAAGCAAAGAATTATTCAGTGATTTTTTCTTAAATAAGTAGTACATATGTACATATGCATAAAAATGTACTTGCATACGCGATGGCGATTTATTTCTGTGGTCATAAGCAATAACCACCTAGTCAACTTAAGAAAGAATTGAGTTATATATGCTATCGTATTCTCCAACTACTATTCCATGTGCATGTGAAGTTCCCATCTCGCCAGCTAGGCTACTTAAAAAGTTATAGACGAACATATTTTGGTTTCCCCATAAGGTTAACATTACAATCCAAATGTTTAAAATGTTTTTTCTCGAATTCAGATTTTTCGACTTAGGCGGTTATCGCGTATGACCACAGATTCATAAGCTTCAATTTCATAATGTATTTTAAATTGATTAAATCTGATTTATCGAATTATTTGATTTGATTATTAAGGTGGCTTAAATTCGATCTCTACTTACGGCAAAATGAACAAAGGTATTTTCTTTTTCTGTTCAGAGCATAAATGTGTCGTTTTTCATGATATTTTATTCGATTACCGGGTATTTCCTTATTGCAAAATTTACATCTAATTAGTTCACTGTTTTCAGTATTCTCGTTTTCCACTTTTTCAGTACCGATATTACTGCTTGCATTTATATGGCCTTCAGCTGTTGTTGCGCTGTCGGGGTGCTTCCGCCTCTTGTGACAATAGACGGCGCTATGGCTTTTGAAGCACATATTACAGATTGGACAGTTATACGGTTTATCCTCTTCATCGTCTTCGGCATGCTTTTTAATACTTTGAATATGTTTACGTTTCATATGATCTTTAAAAGATCTTTTCTGATTGAACTGTCTTGAACATAAGGAACATTTAAATGGCTTATTTTCCTCCTCCTCAGGCTTTTTAATGATCTGATTATGTTTACGTTTCATATGATCACGAAAAGATCTTTGCTGTTTGAACTGCGTGGAACATATGGAACATTGAAAGGGCTTATTTTTGTCTTTCTCCTCAGAAGTTATAGCTTTTAAACTATTTATAGAATGATTGTGTTTACGTTTAACATGTGCCCTGAAAGTGCCATATTTTTTAAATCTCTTCGAGCATAATGGGCAATCAAATGTGTGCTCTTGAATGTGATCGGCTAGCTCGAGAACGGATGAGAAGTATTTCTCACAATGCTCACAACGAAACGAGGTATTCTCACCAGAACCACGATCACCTATTTCATTTCCCGGAAAATATTTGGAATAGGAATTGCTGTGCTTGGACCGCAAATGTTTATTAAAGACCTCTCTTGGGTGATACTCTTTGCACCAGGGGCATTGCATTGGTGATTCAGTTGCATGAACAAGAGATTCGTGCAGTTGTAGCTCTTTGGGAAAGTCAAAGAACTTTGGACATTTAATGCAGATAATATGCGCTACAAAGAGAAATTACTGTATCCACTTAACCAGATTCAGATATGATTGGAAACTTAAATGTGACAAACGTTATGATTGATTAAAAAGAAAAACTTACGCTTATGCATGTCAAAAATATGATTTTTTAGCTCCTTTTTTGTAGTGTATATGCAATCACATAAATTACAAGGATGCGTCACTCTGTCTCTCAATACTTCACTATCACCCCTTTCGTCACCTTGTGATTCTTGACATAATTCCTCAGGATTCTCAAATTTAATGTCTATCGTAGGTATATCTAGTTCAGGTATACTCATTAACGATTCAATAGCAACAGGGCTTGGTTGTATCGTAGCTAAGGGATCATTTGTGCATTCCACAGCATCCTAATGAAAGCATTTTGACTTTATTAAATTATAATTTTTAAACAAATACAAAATGTGTATTTCATACTTGCGGTTGCTCAGTGTTGGCATAAATCATTTCAGGCTCAGTTTTTGGAAAAACTAAAATGTTCCTCAGTTCTTCATCAGAGCGACGAGCGATTTCCTTGAAATTATAGGCTGAACGCACAATTTGTGTGCAATTTAAGCATAATAGTTGTGGAAGATTGTCAGTGGATGTTGCATGGAGCTGTGTACAATCGTTAAAGTAATCGTACAATGTTTTCCCATCTGCCGATACGGCACTACTCATTTCCACACCCCCGACGCAGTCCATTTGCATACAGGCACGGCACTGCATGTTTGAACACCTTATTTTCACTTCAATACGAGGTTAAATAGCTTTTCCTTCAGTTTATAGCATAAGATCCTTCTCCAAAAAACTGAAACAAAAACATATTCAATTCTGGACCTTGGTATGTACTCTCCTCTAGTGTTTCTTTTTTCTTGATGTGTCACCTTAAATTGTAGCTTCATAATGGTTTTCCCTTATTAGTTTCGGGTAGATTAAATTGACAATCAACTGGTTTACTATTTATTTTCGCTGGAATATTTTTCGTAAAAAATTTCTAGACATTACAGACAGGAATGAAACGATACGAGTAAATACAAGTACATACTCGATACTTTTCGTTCGATACTAAGTAATTTTGGCATCGATATTTTTGAACCAAGTACCGAGTAGGTACCGAAAAAACAAATACTCGTATCGAAACCCGATACTAAGGCAAATTTTGGGAAATGTTTAGTTATTTGCACGTCGTTTTTGGGGTAAGAGGCGGTGGGGGAGGGGCGTTTCCCCCTAAATCCCCCCTCCTTCGAAAGGGGACAGCTCCCGCTTTACGAAAAGTCGCATCTCCCCCTTCGTGGCCTCCCACAGACCCCTGGGGAACCGTTTGAAAATGGACAGCATTTACCGAGGGAAATTGAGCAGTTTGAAGTGGAATATAACCCAACTAAGAGAATCTTTGGGGTTTTTAAATAAAAGAAGTTATCCCAAGGTGGTTATCAGGCGAAAGAAGGGGGGCTGAAAACCTTTCGCAGAGAGCACCTTTCTGCGTAGGCGGCCTTCGGCCGCACCTAGGGATTATAACCCTCAGGCAGTAGAATTCTCCTTTCTGTGTAGCCAA